GCGTTGTCTTGCACTCTTTTCTTTTGTTTGTTTGTCTTCTCCCTATCCAATATGTTTGCCTTTGTTTTATCTAATTATATCTTATTTTATTATTATCCCTTAGAAGTCTGTTCATTTTCTAAGGAGAGACAGAAAGAGGGTGGACCCAGATGGGAGGGGAGGTGAGGAGGGGCTGGGAGGAATAGAGGGAAGAGAAACCATAATCAGGATATATTAAATGATTTTTAAAAATCTGTTTCAATGAGGGGGAGGAGAAAAGAAACAAGTAGAGTAGAAAAAGAAAAGAAAGAGGGACAGAAAGTTAGAGAGAAAGAGCTGAGAAACGGAAGAAGAGAGAGACAGGCAATTGGAGACAAAGAAACAGAGGTATCATACAGATGGAAACAGATGGAGATGAGGGGAAAGAGAGAGATGTGACTTGGAATATTTATATTGATTCTTTGAGAACTTAGTGCACTCTATTTTGATCACATTCACCCCTTAGCTCCTCTCATTTCTACTCTCTCTACCCTCACCTCCCTACACACTTCCCTTCCCTACACACTTCTTCTCTCTTCCCCATGGAGTCTAGTTTGTATCACCCTACTTCTCCTGGGAGTGAGGCCTGCCCTGGAGTGTGGTCAGGCTTCCAAGGGTCACATCACTAAACAAAGCTAGCAAATGCCAATCTTTCCTAAGCTAGGGGTGGATTTCATCCCCCTCCACGCTTGGATTTCACCTGGCTGGAGCTCGTGCAGGCCTCGCGCATGCTGTCACAGTTGCAGTGAGTTCGTGTGAGCGCTGCCCTGTTGTGAGAGGAAATGACTTTGATGATACTTTAGCCGTTCAACTCAAGGAATGACCTTAATTGCAAGTTATTTGCTCTGCTTTTGAAGATTGAATTGTGTTATGAGATGATGGTGAAAGATGGCACCATTAATATTTTTACCAAAATATCAATTATCAGGGCTTTTATGATAGCTCAGTGGTTAAGAACACTGGCTCTACAGCCATGGAGACCTGAGTTCAGATCCTGGCACTCAATTAATGAGCTGGTCATGATCTTGCAGGAGCTTGTAGCCCCAGTGCTGCGGGGGGTGGGGGGGTGGGGTGGGGTGCGGTGGGGGGGTGGAGAGAGGGGAGTGCTGGGGATTGCTGACCACCGGCTTAGTCAAAAGCCGTGAGCTCCAGGTTCCATGAGAAACTCCCGCTTTGAAGGAATAAGATTCAGAGGGAGAGAGCAGATACCTGAAGTCCTCCTCTGGCTTCTACATTTGTGCATACCTGCATGCATACACACACATGTGCTACACCACATGCATACATGCTCACAGAAATGCTGTTTTAAACACCACACACACACACACACACACACACACACACACACACACACACACACACTCAAATGTGTGTGCATTTTCTTTTTTGATTTTGCTAATGGCTGAAGGCCAAATCTGGGACACCATTCCTTGGCACAGCTTTTCATCCAGTGCAGGAAGCTCCTTCAGTGCTATGAGTCACTTTTTGGAGCGAAGCCTTACTCATTTCTGAATGTTTCTCATTATTAGAGAATCCCTTGTTATGTGAACACTAGCTTCCTCTAGAATCTTTGATTAATCTTGAGCCTACCTTCTAGAATAATGCAGTCCCTATTTCGTGGTTTCTGGACTTATTTGGCAGTCTACCGTGAGGAAGAGGGATCAGGTTACTTTAGGTAATGGTATTCCTAACTATTACCAGTGGGTACTACTAAGAGGGACAAAAGGCAGACTCAGGTCCTGTTTCTTCTCCTCTGTCTTCTACCTCCCAGCCTCTTCCAGATGAAAAGAATGCAGTAATAGCTGGAGCTTAGTGGATGCTCGTCTTGTGTGGGGCACCATTCTAACACACCTTAGTTTGCACGGCACCTCACCATCCTCACAGCCATTCTGAGAAGTCGAGATTTAATGAGTCCTATTTTCAACATGAAAAACTAAAGCACAGAGAGATTCAGGAACTTGCCCATGATCAAGTTTGAATTGGAACATGTCCACCCTTGTAACCCTTGGACTTTAACCACCAGACATCTTTTCTCGTCTTTCTTTTACTCATCAATGTCAAAGTTCTTAAAACATGACAGCATTACAGCACACAGAACTAATACGAGCTGCTAAGTCCAGAAGGACATCACCCAGGCCCCAGCCAGACACTGTATGGCTGTTAAGATCACATTTAACAACACTGGCAGCACCAACGGCATATCCTGTGCTTGCATTGAACTCAGACGACCCAAGGTTCTTCTGTTGTTGTTTTTCAAACTCATTCAACCCATTCTGGTTCTGCAATTGATTTTTTTGTAGTATAAGAGCCAGGTTTTATGTGCATATACTTGTCAAATCATTTTTCTACAGTTTTATTAAGAAGATGGATTTGCATGTGGACATAGAGTATAATTCGATGGTTTCAAGTAATGAGATTGTGGGCAATTTTGCCCCTGACTTTCAAAATTATTTCATTTGTGGTTGTCATGATGTTGGTGTACAAGAAATAAAAGCTAGTGATGGATAAATAAATGTTCTGGTTTAGACCATCCCTTTTAGCTTGTTCAGTGCTTTATAGCAACCTGGATTCTGATCCTGTAGCATAGAAGCTTCCCTTCTTGGCTTTGCAACATGTGCAGATGAAAAGTCAGCCATATCTTCTAAGTTACTGGTGTCTCAGATGGACAGTACCGAAGGGCAGGGAGAGAACACACTGCCTCCTTTAATAGACTCTAGAGACTGTGTCCCCAGTTCATGGAGTGCTCAGAAAGAATGTGGAAGTAAATGAGAAGAATACATATTAGAGCCCGCTGCCAGCTAAGCTGGGTCTTGACTGCTCTTAGAGATTCTGGTTGGAGTGAACAGTGTCTGTCTTTCAACGTTTCAGCGGATACTTACTGGGAATCTGACCCATTTGAGGCACTCTCCTAAACGCTAGGGATATAAAGACACATAAAATGTGTTTCCTTTCCTCAGTGACTTACAGTCTAGTGGCATGGTCTACTTCATGAGGGGTCTGAATGAACTATGACCATGAACATGCAGCCATTTGTAGACAGCCACAAAAGAGCCTTTGCCTAGAGAGAACAGTTTATTTCCGTGTGCACATCTCACTATACTTCATGCCTGAGTCTAACTGAAGTGCCACTTTTTTTCCAAGATGCTTCTCTTGTCTTTGTTAAAGGGGAAATGCCCAAGTGAGTGGAAGAGGGGCCCCATGTCCTACCATTTCCTTACCAATCAACCTCCAGAGACTCTAGGAGCTCTGATGCCAGACCTGATCTTTCCTGTGTGATACTCAGAGTCCTGGATGGTTCATGCCATTGTGCTTGCTTGGCATCATTTCGTCCTTTAGAATCCCCCAGGCAGAGCAACCTTGACCCTGTCCCAGGGCCCTCCACACTTCTCCCTTCTTGTCTTTCCTTAGATCACCTCCCTTTTTTGGCATGTCCTCACCTTAGTCAGCTTTCCATCACTATTACAAAATATCATAGATAATCAGTTTATGAAAAGGAAAGGTTAATTTGGGCTCATAATTTGGAGGGTCTAGTCCATAGTTGATTGACCGAATTACTTTGGGCCTATGACAAGGCGTGCTCTGGTAGAAGTATGCAGTAGAGTAAAATTGCTCACCTTCTGGCTGAAGAGCAGAAGGCAAAGAGGGGGAAACTGGGGTCACACAATCCACTTCACAGCCATTCAGTGTTCTAAATACCTCCCCCTAGGCTCTACCCCTCCAGGGTTGGACCATCTAATAGTGCCACTCTGGCAACCAAGCTTTTGACACACAGGCTTTGGGGAGATGTTTAAGTCCAAACGTTTCATGCTTGACACCCTCTCCCTCCCACCAGCCGAGTCATGCCTATTCAAGTCTTCAGACTCACATCCTACCTCCTGGGAAACTTCCCTTGAATGCTTCAACCCCTGCTAACTCCATTTCATTGTGGAGAGAGAACGATATTCTCCACCAGAACTTGGCACAACTCTTTGTACAGTGGTGTCTTTTCTGGCATTCTTTCACGAGGGCAATCTTACTTCCCCAGCGAGGTGGCGGCAACGTTTTTAAAACAGGACCCAAGGATCCTGTTCCTGTGCGCTCAGTGCATATAGATCATGGAGCAGACACCCAATAAACATATGCTTCTATTTTTAAAAAAATATCTTATCCTGGCCAGATGGTGGTGGTGCACACCTTTAATCCCAGCACTCCAGAGGTAGAGTCAGGTGGATCTCTGTGAGTTCGAGGTCAGCCTGGTCTACAGAGCAAGATCCAGGACAGGTACCAAAACTACACATAGAAACCCTGTCTCGAAAACAAAACAAAACCAAAAAAAAAAAAAAAGTGTTTTTTTTTTCTAAATTATCCCCATTATTCTTCTCCATGCACATTTTTCTTCCTGCCCAACTGGACTTTTCACCTTGAGTTCCTCCTGTTGGGAAAGGGAAATGATGTAATTATATTATAATCTCAAAAATTTTAAAAACGAGAAAAAATTCCTCCTGTTGGAAGACTTTTTATCTTCCCACCATGAACTACGGGGTCCATTTTGTTTGCTTGCATTGTGCCGACTTCCTTGTCCACACTTCAGCCTTTCCTAAGGGCTCTCTGCTCTGTTCCCCTGCCCGGGGTCTCCACCCGGTAAGACGTTCCAGTCAGTGGTTATCGCTTTGGACAGCTTGGGGCATTCAGCCACCAAAAGCTCTTCTCTCTCTCTCTCTCTCTCTCTCTCTCTCTCTCTCTCTCTCTCTCTCTCTCTCTCTCTCTCCCCCCCTCGTCCCAGGGCTGCTAACCCCAGCTTTGCTGTTAAGCGGGCTCACCCCTGGGTCTACCCCATGCCTGCCCTGCTTCTTACCTACCCCCTGCCCACCCCAGCAGAATCTTACCCAGTCTATAAAGATGTCTCCTTCTATTGGCAGGTGACGCCTGGAACAAGACTTTAAGGCTCTCTGTCCTCCATGCTGCTCACTAGAAAAGAGGCCCTGAACTGTAAGTAACTTGGATTGGCGTTTTCCACACTGACCCTATAAAGTTATGGGTTCAGGACCAGCCCCAAGCCTGATCTTTAACTACTGCACATTGCAGAAGAAACACACTGAACAATGAACCAGTCAGGATGTAAAATACAGTGGGGCTCTAATTAGATTATGTCTGAATGTGACAAAGAGGCTCTGTAATATGACATGCTACTTAATTAGACTGTATTGATTGGACATAAAGGTAGATTTGATATGTTACATGTGTCGTGAGTGCTAGGGAAGGAAGCTACTGAGTTTGCGAGGCCAACCTGATCCTCAGTCCCTTCTCTCCGTGGCCTGAGCAGGAGTACAGGGAAGAATGGATGACATTGGTCCCCCATCCAGGCCGTGTTCATCGCTCATGCTTTCTTTTCTAGTTGGTTATTTCTGGGGACATACAAAGGAGAGTAAGAGAAATACTGCCGACCACTTCCTTCCTCCAGGACGCTAATGGCTCCACCCCCTTTGAGGCTGATGGGCTCGGCGTTGGCCCACCTCACTGGGACCCAGTCTGCTCGCTTGTAGGGCCTGGCCAAAGCCTCCTCTGCACACCATTTCTTGGTAACTCAAATGTGGCCGCTCCCTCCTGGGATTCTGTAGCACTGTCACATTGCCCACTCATCTGGCTTGCGCTCCCGCCAGCAGGGCACGAGCTCCTGGTGGGGGCAGGTCTGAGACTCACCTTCCTCCTGGTTGATAAGTGTTAGCAGGTGACTGGGTTACCCTGGGCCGGCATAAAGACTTCTCTACTTTGCTTCAGGGGCTACCTGAGGCTGAGGCACTACCACCACGACTTTGATAGTACATTGGCTTTCAACCAGTCCATGGAATTATAAATGATTAACCGTTATCAGTGCACATCTTCACCTCTGTGTAAAAATAGATTGACTGTAATGAGTGTTTGAATAAATCATAAGAATGGCCGACTTGCGATGGGCTAACATCCTGCCGATGGCTGCCCGGTGAGTGAGCAGGGCGCCGGTCCTCTGCCTAATGGCCTGCAATTCAGTGCTGGTTGCCTGAATGAGTGATTGACGGGCCTCTGCTCCCAGGGCACCTCCTCTGAAGCCCTGGCTCTGGAGTGGTCGAATTCCTAGGCTGAAGGGGCGGAGAAGGGTGCCTTTCTCCATCCTGTTCCGGGAAAGCCTACCTAGAACTGGGGATATCGGTGTGGGTGTGACTGTGTGTGTGTGTGTGTGTCGGGGAAGTGGAGTAGAAGATAATGACCTCTGTGAGAATCGATGTCTCCTCATTCCGGAGGTTACTGGGACCTCATAAGTCAAGTATAAGGAGCAAGCTGAGCGTGAACCTTAATGAGAGCTGAGAGTAAGAGAGAAATTGGTCTGTGTGGAGGGGAGTGGGCATTCTGAGCACTGGGCCATGGAAACCCAGGGAAAGGTCCCTCAAAGGGACACTCCTGGACCTACATTGAGGAACCCAAGAGCAGGTCCAGGGCTCTTGGATGGACAGGAGTCAAAGGTATTTCAGGTAGTAGTTGCCCAAGCCGCTTCAGGTGTGAGGATCCTGCCCTTTGGAGAGGGAGGCAGAAGAGGAGAGACAGCAGGCAGAGTGACAAGGACAGAAAGAGACAGAATGTCTGAAGTTTCCAAGGGAATTCAGAAGAATCCAGTGATAGCCAGATTTGCATGGAAATAATGGAAATGGTGCTGGATGTGCTGGAAACAGCAGGGAGAGTTTTATTATAATGGTGTCTTGGTTTTTAGGCTGTGTAACAAACTGACACACAAACGCAGCAGCTGAATGTTTATTCTGCCCAAATATTCTGAGAGTCAGGAATTTATATAGGACATGGTGAGGACAGCTTGTCTCTGTCTACTAGGTATGAGATTTCAGTAAAGACAACTCAGAAGATGGGCAGTGTAACCACCACAGGTTTGTTCCCCCCAAATTCTGGGCTTTTATATCAGCTCTTGACTGAGACCAGCCAGTCAGACCTCCATGGCCTTTCCACGTGATCTGGACTTCCTTACAATATGGCTGCCAAACTCCAGGGCGAAGCTGCCTGAGGGAGAGCGAAAGTGGTGGAAGCTTTATTGCCTTTCATGACTCGCTCCTTATAGTCAAGTAGCACCACTTCATTCTATCCATAAGGTCAGGCACAAAGGTCCACAATCCTCACTGCCTCTCAACACTATCAATATCCCGTTAAAGGAAAGCAAGGGTGAAGGGTGTGTGTGTGTGTGTGTGTGTGTGTGTGTGTGTTTGTGTGTGTGTGTGTGTGTGTGTGTGTGTGTGTGTGTGTGTGTGTGCGCACACACACATTTTTTAATCCATCCCTTCATATTTACAGGGATGGTTCTGGACCCCTTGTAGAGCCTCAAATCGGAAGATGTAGATGCAGACACTGGCAGGCATAGCATTCACAAGTAGCCTATGCACATCTTCCCACATACTTGAAATCATCTCTAGATTACTTATTCGACTGAACACAATGTAAATGCTATGTAAATAGTTGCTAATACCATGTTGTTTAGGGAATAATAGGAAGCAAAAATGCCTGTACTTGTTCATTACAGATACTATATTTATCAAATATTTCCTATCTGTAATTCATTGAATCTATGCTATAACCTACAGATATGGAAGCTACCGTACATATGCTGTTGCACTCATCTTTGGAAACCACAACCTACTACGACTGCTATTGGCCTAGTACAATGGGCCTCACCTAGTTCCCAGAACAATTGAAATTGACCCTTCGCAGGGCAGGGAGGGGATGGTGTATTCTGTACAGTCTGGAGAATGATCTATGACAGCTGTACTTTCAGTTTTGAAGGAGTGAGTTTATTAAGCAGATAGCAAACAAAAGATAAAAGATAAATAGTGAGTAGCAACAGGAGCAGCAGACAGCTAGCAAAAGATATCCTCAAATCAGGTGGTAGAGGTACTTGAAGTATCCCAATAGAGAGCACAAACAACGCGTAATATCATCCATCAGGGGCATACAAACGTCCAGCAGAAACTGACTGGGAAAGCCCCATTGAGGCAGCCAGCTCACATCTAAGAGAGTCCAATACAGAGCAAAAGGCCCCCTTGAGTGAGACTTCAAATAAAAGAACAAATAACAGCAGAAAGATGATGTCATCAAACCAGGTACTTACAATCATCCAGAAGAAATCAACTGGGGAAGTTGAGGCAGTCAGCTGGAGTCCCCAGTTGAGATTTTCATCCACGGGTTAACTTCTGAATTTCTGGCCTCTTGTTCCCGTGGAGGCATTTTTACACTATAGGATAAACAATAGTAACCTCCATTGGAAATGGTTTACCTTCAAGCTTTTCTCAAGGGCATGATGTTTTTAATAACCTTAGCTGCTTACTGTTTTTCTTTCTCCCTGTCACAGAACCAAACGGCCAGCCTGATTCAGGACAGGGCTTTTAAAGGATAGTTCACATAAACATGCTTGGATCTGAAGTGTGCTGAGGGACAACCTTGCTTCTAGAGTCTGCTTCTCAGTGAGCGTAAACAACGCATGACAATTTACCACCATAATATACATTACACCCTGGAAAGAAACCTTAGCTTTGGAACCCCCTCCAAGCCAAGCTGAGCTTCTTCCCAGGCAGGGGGTGGTAGTTCTAGGAGGTCCTGTGCTGGGAGAAACTGTGACCTCGTGGTCCATACCAGGGAGAATGTGTGTTTATAACTCACAGCTTGAAACCTTGGATCTAGAAGACTCTAGACCTGTAAACAAGGACTCTGCAAGCCTGAGCCCTTTGCTAACATCAAGGCTTCCCATATTTCCATTTTCATGGCTATCAAAGCTGGGGTAGGTTCCAGGCAAAGCTAGAAGCTTAAAAGACTACAAGGGACTTGATGGGGTTGGGGAATTCTGCACACCAACTTCTCCGTGGTCTTCCAAGTCCTCTGCTGGTCTCCTTTTCCTCTGTCACACACTCTGGTCTGGGAGCCTCTACCTTTAAGGAACCACTCTCGTTCCTCTTTCCCATGCCGGATATAGATGCTACTATATTTTGAAGGGAATATGAGTGCTCTGGCTGCTTTATTGGGACTTAAGGGACAAAAACAAATCCCAAAGTCACCCAAGAGTAGAAACAGAACCAGTCCATCTTACAAGGGCTGACACTTGGGAACGGCCAGTGCCAAGAGCTAGGCAGGGAAGAGAGGGGGGAAATGGTCTTAGTCTTGATGGAAAGGTACTAGGGTTTTTTCTTCCTTCCACATGAAGTCAAATTTGATATTAGTAAGCAATGCCTGCTGAGTGTTTACTATATACTGGGCACTATACTAAGCCCTTGGGGTGCATTTCTCATCACACCATACTTCATGGGATCCTGTTATTAGCTCTGTATGTACAAAGAAGAGAAGGCCCCAAGGACAAGGGAAATGCTATAGGAAGGAAGTCTGGGGCACAGTTGAAATTCAACTTAGAACTCTCTGTTATTGAGACTTAAACTACTTCGTTATTTGCTCGGTGTATAGTGTATGCGTGTATAGACAATCACTGAACTCCCTTTAATATGTATAATTATTATATTGACAAAATCTTATTTAAAAGAAAGAGTCTCAGTTTACTCTCCTCTAACAAGACAATGTCTGACGACATCATCCCCAGTGTCACCCGTCAGTATTCAGATTCTAAGTGGAGAGTGTGGGAACTTACTTAGGTACAGTTAAAGTGGGCCTGCTTTATGAAGACGCTCTGGCATGGAGGTATGGAATAATTTCCTCTTTTTTTCCCCCCGTTCATAATATTTAGGTCAGGAAACCTATTAAACTTGGGCAGTTAAAGGAATCGCATTATGTCCACTCCCTAGGACTACTGTGGGGAAACCAGATGTGAATACTCTAGAGTCATTCCTGGCACACAGTGCTCAACCGTGATTGTGCCATTCATTTATTCAGTAAATGAATTTTAAAAAAAGGACAGGAAAGAAAGACACCAGAAAGAAAGAACACTCCTTTCTGTTGCTTCTGAGAGATGGTCAAGAATCTTGCCTTTAACTGTACTTGCCATAAAGTTCACTCATAAACTATTGATATTTTAATAATACACATTAGCATCTTGCCCTTTGACAAATGAATATTGAATGAGCAATAAAGAGTCAGAAGAGTATCCAGGTATACTGCTTCAGCAAAGCTGGAGTGCTGGGTGATTGGCCAAGGGAACGCTGCACTTCCAGAGACCTCGTGACTCACCCCTCCTTCCAAGGACCCTCAGAGAGGGTTCTTCAGGGAGCTCAGACTCCATCCGGAGCAGCCTACTCAGAGCCAGGTTTTTGCCTGGCCTCTTTTTCTTTCCCCAGGTCTGGAGAGGAGGGAAGGTTAATAACGCGCTGATAGGAATTGATCTTAATCCTCTGTGAAGTACCCGGCATTGCTTTTGATTAAAGGTGCACTTTCACTTTCTTCTCCAAAGTCACAAGTCTGAAGCAAATGGGCACGCTGGTGCACACTTTATTCCCAATCACTGAGGCAGAAGCAGGCAAATCTCTGTGCGTCTGAGGCCAGCCTGGTCTACAGAGCCAGTTCCAAGCCAACGATAAAGCAATGATCATATACAGAGATGCTAAATATAATAATAATAATAATAATAATAATTATTATTATTATTATTATTATTATTTGAAAAAATCTACAGCCAAGACAGACTGCAACCTACGAAACATCAGACAATGAACCTAAAGAACACGGACCGGCTTCCCCTCCTTGCTCTACCAGGTCCTTTTGGAACAGCACAGGCGCATCTGTGTGTGTGTGTGTGTGTGTGTGTGTGTGTGTGTGTGTGTTGAGAGGGATGTTGTGGGTGGGAGTGCTGATCAAGTTTGTAGGATAGAGTTCCCTACCTCATCCTTTCAGCATCTGCCTCCACCCCGCCTGCCCCAGTGTCCTGTGGCCTTCTGTGGGCTGGAGTGTACCGAGAGCGGTGACAGGGTCTCTGCATAGGTCCAGCCTAATTGGTGTGATTTAATGGCGTTTTGGTGGATTCAGATTTATATGGCTTTCTGAGCTGCAAATCTGCTTTCTAAATGTAGAATTTTTGTGGAGTGGTAAAAAATAATGGCTGTTCTGTGATTCCTGCCTCCCAAGCTAGGAGATTGCAATTTACATTATGCAAATAGACATTATGCAATCAAGGCACTTTAGCGGGAATCTGGCAGCAGAGAGGCCGCTGATGAGATGCCGAGGTCTGCAGCCCTAACCGGAGGGGCCCTGGGAAGAGCAGAGATGAAGTGGGGAGGAGGTGGGCTAGGCAGGCAAGGGGAGGAAGCCAAGAGTCTGTTCCTCAGGTCCACGGAGGCAGAGTGGAGCCTGCCCGGAGATGAACGCAACTCGGGAGCTGCCAAAGCGACTCTCTCAATTAATGGCTTTGTTTAATCATACCCCCTGTCCAGAAGAGTATTGTCTTACGGATAATTTCGTTTGCCTAACGAGATTTTGCTAATTAAATCTCCTTTCAGTTGGTGTGACTATGCCTGCAGGAGAGGGGGCTATTTGGAGACTTCTCCATAAACCTTTTTGGAGAGGGGCTTAGAAAGAGAGTTGGGAGAGGGGAAGGAAAGACGGGGAGGGAAGGAGACCCTGTCCTGCTGGGAGCGGCTTTGAGCAGGGTTTGGAAACCCCTCCCCTCACTCTTCCTTGCCCACAGAAACGCGGTCGCTCGCAAACCCTCGCCCAGCAGAACTGCTTTGCTGTTCTCTCCTCCACGGTCACTAGTACAATAACCACTCTCGACTCCTTCTCAAATCCTCGGGGAGAACTGTGAACCTCGGAAGGAGGTTTCCAAGGACTTCCAAGTGCTGGTCCTGCGGCCGTGGGGGGTCTGTGCTCGGCTGCTTGTGGGACTTCTTTTGCCTTCACTTAGTCCGCCGGCCTGTCTCTTCAGAAAGAAAAACGTGCTCCTAAATTGGCCATTTCTCCAGGGATAATTAATTATGTGAATCGAAGAGGAGACCTCCTTGTCAGACTCATTTGTCATCAGAGCTGGTCAAGGAGAGACTTTATGTAGAGGAGGCCAGCACGGTGCCCCCATAGCTGGAGCCCAATTAGTCCTGTGTGGATAGCAGCGGCCCTTATCTGTTAGTTTGCTTCCCCAGTTTCCGGTCTCCACTGTCAATCACGAGCCAAAAATGCTACACAGAAAATTCCAAAAGTAAATGATTCTTAAGTTTTGAATGACTTTTATTGTAATAGGTGGTAGTAATCAGTAATAAAATTGTAACTATTCTATTTTACTTAGGTATTGTTAATCTTTTACTTGCTTAATTTAGAAATTATACACTATCGTGTGTGTGTGTGTGTGTGTGTGTGTGTGTGTGTGTGTGTGTGTGTGTGTGTGTAGGAGAACACACATACACATAGGTAGATGGATGGATGGATGGGTAGGTAGGTAGAATGATGAGGGGGAAGTGTTTAGTACCCCTTCCATGACTTTAGATAGCCACTGAGAGTCTTGGAATCTACTTCCTGTGAGTATCATAGGACTACTGTATGTTACCACACAACTCCTGTGCTGAACCACCCCTAGTGGTCTTTTCTAATAACTTCCTGAAGGTCCGCTCTCTCAGCCCGGCTGACCATGGGATGCATGCTTCAGTCAGTCAGGGTCTGCTGTCCCAGGTTCTTCTCACCCTCACCCTACTCCCTCACCCCCCCTACCTGTCCACAGGCCTTCAGGCATGCCATATTCCTGCCGCTGAGGTCCCAAATGCAGACCCATGCTGTTTCTCCCGGTGCTCTGTGCTTCTCTGCCTGATTGCTTTGGCACTTGCTGCTTCTCTGTGTGGAATTCCCTCATCCAAGGCCGCCCCTGCTTCTGCGGTAACAGTTCCTTTGTGGCTGCTTCCTCTGGGTCTTGGCTGCTTCCACCTCTCTCCTCTGCTGTCTGCTCTTCTTCTTTCCCTGTAGGCAGCCGTGGGACCTCATACACATCACTCACATTAAGGACTGAATCTCATGCTTCCTTAACCCTAGCTTCTACAGCTATGCCTGGCTGAAACAAGGTGAGCTGATTGAAAGGAGAGATGTGGAGTGATGGAGGAGTAAATCCCAGCAGCAGGAGGTCACACAGGGTCACCAGTAAAAACGGTGCTGTCTTCTGTGTCTTCTTCTGAGCCCTGGCCCTTAGGCTGGGGGTGCCAGTGCCTCATTTCCCACACATTCACATGAGCCCTGTGAAGTGAGTGTTACTTCAGCTGAGCGAACGGCAGCTCCTCTGTTCTCATTAGAGGACAAGGCCCATGATGACCCTGGGAGGAGCTTCCTGTAGGGAGGTGCCGGCTCCTGAGCTTTCTCCTCCTCACCTCCTCACTCCACGTGCCCATCATCCACCCACTCATGCACCCCGCCTAACCCGACATCACCTTTGAAGTGTGTACTCTTCCATTGCCGAGACCCGCTAGGGCTCAGACATGTGTCAGGCTGCCTCTCTGCCTATGGACTGTATGTGTGTGTGCCGGTGGGAGCACAGGACCCAAGGCTGACCTTGTCTGCTGCTACTGGGAACATCAGGAATGGTGCTGTCAGGAGTACAAGTCTGTTCCATGCTAGGTAGGGTTAGCCAAGGGAAACTGGCTCCGGTCTTCATGTGTGATTTGTGTATGTGTCTTGTGTTATTCTTAGTTCCTAGGTTTTGGTGCCTCTTTTTTCTTTTGCTCCTGGGATGTCTCTCAGTGGGGCTGTCTCTTCATCCAGGTTACATTTAGCTGAACTTCCTGACAATGTTGAGGTCTGAGTCTGTAGTGCGTCTAGGTATATATAGTGTAGGTACTCAACAAGTACTGGGCAAATGTGCCAGTAAAGGTTTGAACTCACGTACACTGAGGTGTGAGAAGGCTGGGTTTGAGTCCTACTTCTGTTGTATCCTTAGCTGGGGTCTTGAGATTTGATTTTTCTCATCTAGAAAGCAAGAGTAATCATACTCCCCATTCTGTCTCTCTGGAAGGCCGTGTGAAGGAATTTAAGAGACATATGAAAGTGTTTTATAAACTGTAAAGCACTGCAGAAGTATAAGAGGTTATTATTATAATGGTTATTGCGCTTGAAGTGATCATTCTGTTTGAAAATCAGGGATTCTGTTTTCAGGAATATAAAACCATCCAAGCCTGGCTTGAACTCTGAGACGCACAGAGCAAGGATTAGAAGAACCAACGCCAGATGTACCTGTTAGAACTTTCAGGGACTGAGGCCTAGCCCAGAGACCTCTGCTGTCTCCTGTTCAGCTGACCTTCATGAAGGTGGGAGGAGCCTGGGAAAGCAGCCCATCATCACGTAGGCACCTACCACCTAAACAAGTTCAAGGTAGCGCTGCTGTCTTTGCAAACACTGTTGTTCTCTGCCAGGAAGGAATGTCTTCCCATTTTCCCCGTGAACTTTGTATGTGTTCATGAGTCTGTGAGCACACATGCACATGCATACACACATGTGTAGAAGATAGAAGTTAATATCAGCTTCTTCCAGTGCTTCTCTACTTTATTTCTCAGGACAAAGTCTCTCACTGAAGCTGGAGCTCACCGATTGGCTAGAATGACTGCCCATCAAGTCCTAGGGCGCCTCCTGTCTCCACTTCTCCAGTGCACATGCAACCACATTAGCTTTTTATGTAGGTACTTGGGATTCCAACACAGGTCCTTATGAATTCAGGTCCTTATGCGTATATGGTGAGCACTCTACTAACTGTGCAATTTCTCTTACCCTCCGCTGGCCTTCTGACCCCTCATGCCAAACTGCTGGGCCCTCTCTGGCTCCCAAATTATCAGGTATATCTACCTCCCTAAAGCATTTTTTTCACAGTGTGCCTGGGTCTGTTAATGTCTGCCCCCCATGCCACAGTGCACAGTAAGTCAAAGCCTGTTCAGGTGAATGATGCCCCGGCTAGCTGGGTAGAGGCCTTCAGGTTGTAGTTGTGCCCTGTGGATGGGAGCATCTGTCTATTGCTGACCCCTATAGGTAAGCAGGTGCCTGCCTGTGAAGGCAGATGCTGTCTCCCTTATCCCCAGCCCTCCCAGATTCTGTTTCTTAGCAGGGTGGGTCCCAGCTGGTAGAGGATCTACTGGTACCTCTCCCGGGGACCTGGTTCCCTTGCCTTCTCCTTGGTTCAAAGCTTCTTGTCTTCCCCTTGTTCTGGGCCTCTCCCCCAGACCCTCCTACTCCCAGCCCCAGGCAGCCTCTCCAAAGTGCCAGGGGGCTGGGAGGCTTTTCATTACCAAATGCACTGAACCTATTTGTGAGTGTTTTGCAAAGTGTTTAATCCAAGGTGTTCCCTCAATTAAATTAGTGCAAACATCTGTGTCCCACATCCACCTCCATTTGCATTCTGTGCCATTTATTACAGCAGGAAATTGGAAGGCACCTTAGGAATACTTAGGACCGAATTAGGCTGGGCTGGGGGAGGCATCAGGGGGAGGCCTACTGCCTGTGAGGTTGGCCCACAAGGCAGATCCCTCTCCAGGCTGGGACTTGCCAGGAACCAAGTCATTTTCTAGTGCAGGAGACCCCGACTGCTGTGGGGATGACCAGATCACCTGGGGGCGACTGGGGGAGTTTAATTAATGCCCCTGGTCTCTACCTAGAGCCAAATGCCTATAGAGACAGGAAGAGTTCACTGTTGTCACTTTTAATTTTAAACCTAATTAAAAAAAAATCTAAAGTGGGGCTGGAGAGTTGGCTTAGTGGTTAAGAGCACTTGTTGTGCTTGTGAGGGATCTGGGTTCGATTCCCAGCATCCACACAGAGGCTCACCACTTCCTTAGGCAACCAGGTATGCATGTGGTGCACAGACATCCGTGCAGGAAAAGCACTCCTATGAGTAAAATAAATCTAAAATAATTTTTAAAAATGTAAAGTGTATCACACTTAGTTCACCGAGCTAGGTCTTTCCTGGGGAGCCTTCCCTGCTGGAAGCTGGAGTTTTCTGTCCTGAAACTGCTTAGCTTTGGTGACTGACTGGCTGGGCTTGGTGGCAGCTCCTCCAGCCTTAGACCATATAATTCCCGTCACTGCCACGTTTGTCAGGTGTGTTAGGAGCTCCACTATCCTTCTACTCTAGGAGGAGTGACAGAATTGTCTGTACTAGGACAGTCCCTGAAAGCCCGGTGTCTGTTGTAACTCTCCCACCCAGCCCTGAGACCAGCCCCAGAAAGGGCAACCATATGCCCATGGGACCAAAGCTAGAAAGTGGAGCAAACACTTTTGCCTGAAAGTTTCCATGACTCTGAAAGCAGTTTCCCACTGTTCTCAGAATGCCTTTCTCAAATGAAGCTGTTGGAATTGGCTTTGAATGGAGACACTTGCGATTTCTCCTAACTCCTTGACCCACCAACCGGGCCTGGTTGTGTTGAGGCTTTGTCTGCTCTTAGGATGGCTTAAGCTAGGACTTCCCAAGGTTCTGTGAGGGTCGGCACTGGCTTGCAGCCAGATCTCCAGAGGAAACCCTGGGTGCTGGGACAGAGAGGGAGAAAAAGATGCCTGGGGACAAGGAAGAGGCTTATGGGTCTGTTAAGAGACCTTAGAGGTCACTGAATTTCTCAGCCCAGAGTGGGGAAACTGAGGATTAGAAGATGCAATCTCTTGGCAAAGATGCATAAGAAAGGGACCAAACTGTAACTCAGGTTTCTTAGGTCCCAAGATGGGCACAATGTCAGAATCCGGGAGGCCTGGGGCAGGGAGGCAGGGAGTGTGGTGGGTGCAGTCTTTCAAGATGCAAAATGCAAACTTAGGCTAGAGCGAGGAGCTAGTGTGAGAGGGGATTCATCTAGTGTACTCTTCTTTTTTTTTTTTTTTTTTTTTTAAAGGTTTATTTAGTATACAATGTTCTGCCTGCATGTATGTCTGCAGGCCAGAAGAGGGCGCCAGATCTCATTATAGATGGTTGTGAGCCACCATGTGGTTGCTGGGAATTGAACTCAGGACCTCTGGAAGAGCAGCCAGTGCTCTTAACCTCTGAGCCATCTCTCCAGCCCCTAGTGTACTCTTCTAATAAGGATCCATCTTAGAACTTTCCAGGGCCCAGGGAGCAGCTGCCATATTTACCTTGGTCCCTGTAGGGAGGGGAGAGAGGTCCTGAGGTTTCATCTACATGACCTCGGGCGGGTAGCAGAACAGCCAGGAGAGTCCCCCAATCTAGGCCAGGTGCTTCCTAATAGTCTCGACCATTTTTGCTCTGCCTTCAGAGGGAGAGAGGGTGCGATGCAGGAGCAATGGGTTCCAGATTAAAATCCCGCTCCCTCACTTTCCGCTCTCACCATCTTATCTTGGCTTGGTCTCCCAGCTGATCAAAGAGTAATGATAATCTCTGAAAGGCCTACTTGGCTCTGGCTAGAGGTTTAAGACATGTCATCAATTTCCACCTTCTCTTCTTCGACCCGCAGCCTCAGTTCCTGGGAGTATGTGTAGGTGAGGGTGGCCACCCCTGTTTCAGCTCTCCCCCTCTTTCCTCTTCTTGCCCCTCTTTCTCATCAAAAGACTTTAATAAATACACCTCAGCATGTGGCATTGCCTGGGGCTTTAGAAGAATGAGTTGCTTATCCCAGCTCTTACTTTCAGAAGTGGCAATCTCCCATCCAAACATGTTTACTAAGCATTGGCTGTGTGTTGTGCTCAACTCTAGGCCCAGTGAGTCACCCTGAGAATAGCCACAGCCTCCTCTTATCTCCTCCCAGGAACCAACAGTCCCTACTTTTTTTTTTTTTTTTTTTTTTTTTGCAGTTGTCAGATCCCAGAGGGTTTTGGGCTTCTATGCCTTTTTGAGACTCTGTTCTTGGACTTGTAGACACTTTGCCTACAATGTTCTCCATCTCCTTCCTTTGCTGAGAACTCAGGCTCTCTGTGACGAGGGCCCCGTACACACTAGGCACCCTTCTGTGACTTCATCACAATGGACTTTAGTTATGTCTTTTCCAGCAGCGCCTCATCTTCTGTCCAGTAGATGGGATTACTTAGACCCTTATTAGAAAGCCCTCCTCGCTCTTTAGCATTGGTAACCAATGCATGCTTGTTTCGTTGGCCAACTTCTAAGGCCCCCACTGGTGAGTCGGATGGCAGGCTGTCAGAGTAACGGCCTAGATCTCTAGTTGTCAGAGTGTTGGTTCAAAGAGCCTTTCTTGGCCTCTTTTGTTTGTTCCTTATTAAGTATTTGCTCCCTCCTGCCCAGCCTCAGAATATGGGATCTCCAGATAGATGCCGGGATAAGCATAGACAACTGATTTCTTAATGCGGTGTCCCTTACCTTGGCCAGGAAGTCTTTCTTTTCCCTCCACATGGCCAGAGCCTGCTTATCTTGGTTCCATCTCTTCCACAGATTCTTCTGGAAAAAAGGACAATATTCCCTTCCTTGGCCCTGGCCTGAACTTCCTGATGCTGACCAGTATACCTGCATCCCAGATAGCTTATGTTAGTCCTTTTACATGGAGAGCCCATGGCTGGTGGCTGATGCTTCTAGCCCTTGCTCTACTTGGCATGGCTCCTGGCGCATTCTGATTGATGATACCTGTTTGCCCAATGGAAGAATAAATAAGGTCATTACTCCTAGTTTATCTAAGAGGGA